ATTGGGGCAGCGGGGGAAAGGTAGAGAGATTCCTTTTACAGTATGGGCCTGTGGTTGCTTCTGCACCTGGGCAGGCAGTGTGGCCTTGGAGGGGAGGTGTCCCCCTGGCTTACTGCCAGGACGACACCTAAACAGATCCCTGCCACATGTGAGAACATGGAGGCTTCCGGGAAAATCCGACATTAATTGGTCTTGTGAGCTTCAGTGTGCCTGATCCAATGCAGGCAGTGTACAGGTAGGTAGCCCAGAACCTTCATCCATGAATATGGCCTGATGGCAGATGAAGTTTCGGAAACTGATATGCCAGTCGATGTGGTTGTTTTTACCTCACAACTGCCTTCCATCTTGGTGGCTGTAGGAACTCAAGATCTAATCCTTATTTTCTCCTCCTTTGGCTGAGTGTCAGTTGTTATACCTGAAATGTCTTTGTACGTTCTTGAATGTTGTAGGTGCTGTAAAAATGCAATTTGTTGTTATGAAGCAGTCTTGAATGCAGAATCTTTTCCCTGGCTCATTGTCAGGGAAATTGTATTGTCAATTGACACACTCGTCCCCATTTTGTCATTTTATAGATCTGCCTACTGGTGAACAGATGTAATAACATTTTAAAGGCAATTTTTTTCTGGAGTAAAGATCAGTATACAGTTGGAGATAGTAGGAACTGCAGATGCTGGAGAATCCGAGATAACAAGGTGCAGAGCTGGATGAACACAGCAGGCCGAGCAGAAAGGCTGACATTTCGGGCCTAGACCCTTCAGCACCTTGTTGTCTAGTATACAGTTGGAGCCAGTTCTGAAGAACGTCATACCAGACTCAAAACATTAACTCTGTTTCTCTCTCCACAGATGAGGCCAGAGATGTGTTTCTCCAGCATTCTCTGTGTTTGTTTGGGATTTCCAGAATTTGCAGCATTTTTCTTTTATTCCAGCAAATACTGGTGTTGGGAATGGCATTCGGCTATTATCATGTTGAGAGAATGACTTTTCTACAGGACTTTACTAATAAATTGCTCTGGTCAACAGGGCAGGACCAGCCATAATAGCTTTAGCAGTTATAACACAGAAAATAATACTTGCATTTATATGGCACCTTTCAGAATACATAAACTCTTGTCTGTATGTTAACGGTAGTTAAGTGTTGAATAATTTGCAAATATTTGTGAATAGCTGACAAATGTATTGAAAGGAAATTGGAGATGATTCCTCTTAACTCATGCGGATTTAAGGCATTGGCAATGCTGCTGAGAGGAATTGTGATCTAAGGCACTGAAATTTCTGTGTCCTTTTCCTTAAATTCCACATTATTACGGGCAAAATAATCTGGCAAAGTTATTGGTTGAAAGGATCCCTTAAGCCTTTATGCAAGGCATGAATATGGAGCAAAACTGTTGTGATTTTCATTTTGATTAGGGATCCTAGTATTTGAAACTTTCATGGGAGTTCTTAAAACGATGTCATTGAGCCTGGATCTCTAATTTCAATTACCTCTGAACCTTTTACAAGGAAAGAAGGTAAATAACATATTGATAATTTACCCTTCCTCAGTATCTTGGCAAATGACATGTTTGCAAACTTTGAATCTGCCATAGGTAAGAATTTCCTTACACATCTTAGTATGCTCCATTTTGCTCCACCATTCATTTTTGAGATGGAAATGGAAATGCTCCCTTTCCTCAACATGTTAGTTGAGAAGTCTGCTAATGGATACAAGCCTACCTTCATGATTTAAGATTTATGCTTTTAGTTCTACGGTGTTATATGATTGGCCTTATCCACAGGCCTGTAAATAAAGTCTGAGTCATTTGCTCATTTTACAAGCTCTATGCAGAAACAGAGCACATCAAAGTTATTCGGTGGGACAGTGGCTGCAAAATCTGAGATTTCAACTGGTTAAGCACCCATTTCATGCTCTATTATGCTTGGCTACACAAGAGTTTCTTTCCACCAACAGAATGTTGCCTTAGAAAAATTTTCTGCCTACCACACATTTGAGCAATGTGTGTGAATTTCAGTACCAACGCAATGCCACATAGATAGGCTGTATGTCCCAATTGTTGGCTGATCGAATCAAACAGAACATTTGTTTGGCTGTTCACAGTAGGTAGAGTACACATACCGAATCAGCTCATTCTTCAAAATAAAATACCTCGTGATGTGATCCGGTTTTTGATGACCACTTGCTGAACACTCTGAAGTGTACATATAGCTCCGTTAACAACCAATTTAAGATAATTAGTCAAAAATGTAACATAGCTCGTATATGTTTGCAAGAAGCAATTTGTGTTTGTATGTAGGGACCCATTCACTGCAAATAAAAGGAATATGTTCAATTCTTACACTTCTTGAATTACCCAGAAGCTTAGGAAGCCTCCCGTTGCTTTCTCCATGACAATGCCTCAGCCAAACTGAGTTGACATGCCAATCAATCAATACCCTTTTCTCCTCGGGTATAAATTGTTGTAATCATTTGAAATTTGGCTTCCTTCCAATTATCCTGACAGGTGCAGAATGAAAAGCTTAAGCAATATGAGATAACAAGGTGCAGAGCTGGATGAACACAGCAGGCCA